TAGTCGTCTGTCCCCCTTGTGGGTGGAAATTCCACGCTGTACTTACCAGTACGTGACCGGCACTTCAGAACCTTGCTACCTCATCAGCTGTCCGTCCCGCGTATTATATGCCCTTCTCATTGCCACTTAAGCTTGCTGATTCGTCAGCTATGTCAGCGACTTTAGTTCGTTTACGAATCTCCTCATTTGTGATTCACTTACCAGCATTATCCATGTTGATTTGTATCCCCGAAGCGTTAACGGTATAGTCGTCGACGTGCCGGTTGTCCAACATCCTGTCCTGCAGACTCTGGGAATAGTTGGCTGCGAAGGTCATGACCACACGAGCTTTGCCTTTGCGGGCTGCTGCTATGGCTTCTTCTGTTGTTGGGTAGTACACCTGAGAGACAATTTAAGGGGATGAAGATGAAATATTTATCTTTGATTTAGCATAAAGGTATGTTTATCTGGTAAATGATATCATGAATGAGAAAAAATTTTCGTTAAATTTTCAGGTTCATGATAAAATAAGAATTAACGGTCATTATAAAGCATACTTAAGTTAAATTGTGACTAAGCTGTATCACTTTTCACTTTAAGCATCTACAGTTTGATAGGTTAATTTCTGCAATGTAATTTGCTAGAATATGAAGAAGACCACAAACTCCTAGTTTGTATTTTGAATAAAACATGACGATAACATTATAAACCAAGCGAAGTACCAAAGCTACGATTGGTCGAATTTCAATAATGAAACCGTTCACAAGCTGTAACCATTTTCGTCTATACATAGTGTGACGTTTCCTGGTTAAGAACCTGATACAGATAATAATTTTTCCACACACAAAGATGATAAATTCCCAAAATACTCACCAAGTTACTTTGCCTCCTATGGAAGAAGTCCAAATACCGACAGCTGAAGTTCGTTATTTCCCATTCATACGTTTCTTTGTTCTGAGGGCACATTTCCTTGTTGTAGTCACAGAGTACTTTGGTACTGTTGATCTCATAGTTGACGACGGCGATTGGTAGCTCTTCGGGGTAGTGGCCGATGGCGATGCAGAAGAAGAACATTTGCGAGACGGGTAGCAGGATTATGAAGCAGAGCAATCTGTGGAAGAGAGTAATGACTAGAATGAGAATAGAGTAAAAGTGGTAACAATATTAACCTCTTACCTACGGGAGGCACCTATTGTTGCCAAGTCAAAAGTCAGTTCTCAATACGGGTGGCATCTAGTGTTGTTTTGGCAAAGCCAATACTAAATCACGGTTTACGACAAAAAAACAATAAAATTGCAAATTAAGTGTAAAATTCGCTGGTAATTATGAAACTAAACTAGTTGCAGAATATAATGTTCCTAATTTCAATACCGTAAGTCTCATACTTTTTTTAATAAGTGGAGCGAACAATTTCATAGGTTAAAATACCCCGTATTGAGAGGCGCACTTTGGTTTCCAAGAGCCCGTAGGTAAAGGGTTAAAGTGTAGTTTTGGCAGAGTAGAATAGGACTAATCTTACTTTTATTTGGATTTAGTAATAACGACTTAGGCGATAAGCAAACATCAAACCTTCTCAAAGATTTGTAGTTAAATGCCCAACCTGTCTAACCAGAATGTGTACTATAAGCCAAATCCTCTATTTGCGAGATTGATAATGGATGGCGAATGTCGATATTATTCGGCATGTGACGATGCACAGCATCTGGTGAGAGATGCGTCTACNTACAATTGGCATCAGCGGTATTCTCTGAACTGTAAACTGTACGTTTTCCTCATTGTAAATGAAAAGAACATTTTGAGATCGTTTTAGGAAAAGTCTTGTTCAAACGCAGTTAAGAAGTGATAGGATGTCTTTTAATTTTATGTTTGATGGCTGAAATAGCTTCTTAATAATTTCACACCGCGGCACCGTCACAATACGTCTACATTCGTAAATCGTAATGTAGTTTGGATAATAATTCCTTTTGGAGCAATCGGGTAAAAAGGGCTGTCCTAAAAACGCTCTGTAAAGAATCGTTCATTCGTTTCAGCCAAATGACGTCCACTGCGGGACAAAGACCTCTTCCAAGGATCATAACGACTGGTTCTGCGCTGCCCGCATCCAGGTACTTCACGCAACCTTCACCAGATCCTCTGCCCACACCGCAGCTTTCGGCTCGTAATAGCCACCCGAGAAAAGACAATGCCGGAAATTGGCGTCTTTTTTTTTTCGCGCGGCCATCGACTAAACCATGTTTTTTGGTTACAAAATAGTGTAATAAACCAAACTTACTATGACATGTATACCTCTAAACTCAGTCTGAACTGAGTTACGAGCATTAGAAGTTTGATGTTATACATACTAAGATTTGCTTTTTGCGCGCAAGTTTTGTAAGAAATAGCAACAAAATAGTGACGTCTTTTTTTATTGCGCTGATTCTGCTCCATACTGATGACTGGAGCCTATAATTGATGTTATTGTTTGTTTACACATACAATGTCACTATTTTGTTGCAATTTCTTACAAAGCTTGCACGCAGAAAGCAAATCTAGTATGTAAAATAATCAAACTTCTAATGCTCGTAACTCAGTTCAGACTGAGTTTAGAGGTATACATGTCATAGTAAGTTTGGTTTATTACACTATTTTGTAATCAAAAAATAAGGTTTGGTCGATGGCCGCGCGAAAAAAAAAAGACGCCACCTTCCATACAAAATCTGGCATTGCCATTTTCTGCCCCAGTGGACATAAGCTCTACGAGCTATATGCCCCGCCCACTGCCACTTGGGTTTGGCAAATCTGATTGGAATACCCAGGAAAACTCCGAGCATATAACGCTCCATAACCCTTTGGGTGATTTTGAGCCTTCTTATGGCATTACACTACCACTGGTCGCCACTCGAGAGCTTTTCTGCCCCAGCAGCCATCAACTCCACGAGCTATGTGTCCCGTAAAGGATCACTTACCAGCATTGTCCATGTTGATCTGTATCCCCGAAGCGTTAATAGTATAGTCGTCGACGTGCCGGTTGTCCAACATTCTGTCCTGCAGACTCTGGGAATAGTTGGCTGCGAAGGTCATAACCACACGAGCTTTGCTTTTGATTTATTTTACTGCATTGGAAAATCATGACCTACTCTCTGGCACACTTGGGTAAAAAGGGCTATCCTAGTGAACTACATAATATGCAGGATCACTAACTATCACGCCGCCTGCATCCAGTAAGGCAATAGATGCAAGCAGCTACTTTTATATTGTAGTCGTCTGTCCACCTTGAAGGTGGATATGCCACGCTGTGGCCTCCACTCCAGAACCTTGCTGCCCCATCGGCCGTGCGTTCTGCGTGATAAGTGTCCATTGCCACTTAAGCTTGCTGATTCGTCAGCTATGTCAGCGACTTAAAATCGTTTACGAATCTCCTCATTTCTGATTCACTTACCAGCATTGTCCATGTTGATCTGTAGTGCCGGTTGTCCAGCATCCTGTTCTGCAGACTCTGGGAGTAGTTGGCTGCGAAGGTCATGACCACAAGAACTGCCTTCTTACAAAGGCAAGTTTTGATTTTTTGGAGGATTGAATGAATGAAGGATCACTAACCATCATGCGGCCTGCATCCAACGCCTTCCTTTAATGTAGTAACTTTTATGTAGTAGTCGTCTGTCCCCCTTGTGGGTGGAGTTTCCACGCTGTACTTACCAGTACGTGACCGGCACTTCAGAACCTTGCCACCTCATCAGCTGTCCGTTCCGCGTATTATATGACCTTCTCATTGCCACAAGCTTGCTAATTCGTCGGGCAATGTCAGCGACTTTAGTTCGTTTACGAATCTCCTCATTTCTGATTCACTTACCAGCATTATCCATGTTGATTTGTATCCCCGAAGCGTTAACGGTATAGTCATCGACGTGCCGGTTGTCCAACATCCTGTCCTGCAGACTCTGGGAGTAGTTGGCTGCCAAGGTCATAACCACACGAGCTTTGCTTTTGATTTATTTTACTACATTGGAAAATCATGACCTACCCTCTGGCACACTTGGGTAAAAATAGCTATCCTAATGAACTACATAATGAGCAGGATCACTAACTATTATGCGACCTGCATCCAGTAAGGCAATAGATGCAAGCAGCTACTTTTATATTGTAGTCGTCTGTCCACCTTGAAGGTGGATATGCCACGCTGTGGCCTCCACTCCAGAACCTTGCTGCTCCATCAGCCGTCCGTTCTGCGTGATAAGTTACTGCCCATTGCCACTTAAGCTTGCTGATTCGTAAGCTATGTCAGCGACTTAAAATTGTTTACGAATCTCCTCATTTCTGATTCACTTACCAGCATTATCCATGTTGATTTGTATCCCCGAAGCGTTAACGGTATAGTCGTCGACGTGCCGGTTGTCCAACATCCTGTCCTGCAGACTCTGGGGACAGTTGACTGCGAAGGTCATGGCTAAAACCTTACCTACACTAGGGCAATGTTCCTAGTTTTGTTCCTCTGGATTGAGGATTGGACATGTCATATCCTCACTAGGGCATGCCCTAAACTACCCTACCCGTGGAGGATCACTTACCAGCATTGTCCATGTTGATCTGTATCCCTGAAGCGTTAACGGTATAGTCATCGACGTGCCGGTTGTCCAACATCCTGTCCTGCAGACTCTGGGAATAGTTGGCTGCGAAGGTCATAACCACACGAGCTTTGCTTTTGATTTATTTTACTACATTGGAAAATCATGACCTAATCTCTGGCACACTTGGGTAAAAAGGGCTATCCTAGTGAACTACATATATGCAGGATTACTAACTTTCATGCGCCCTGCATCCAGTAAGGCAATAGATGCAAGCTGTTACTCTAATATTGTAGTCGTCTGTCCACCTTGAGGGTGGACGACTTACGGTGTGGCCTCCACTCCAGAATCTTGCTGCCCCATCAGCCGTCCGTTCTGCGTGATAAGTTACTGCCCATTGCAACTTAAGCTTGCTAATTCGTCGGGCAATGTCAGCGACTTTAATTCGTTTACGAATCTCCTCATTTCTGATTCACTTACCAGCATTGTCCATGTTGATCTGTATCCCCGAAGCGTTAACGGTATAGTCGTCGACGTGCCGGTTGTCCAACATCCTGTCCTGCAGACTCTGGGAGTAGTTGGCTGCGAAGGTCATGACCACACGAGCTTTGCCTCTGCGGGCTGCTGCGATGGCTTCTTCTGTTGTTGGGTAGTACACCTGAGAGACGATTGTGATATTAGGAGATAAAGATGAAATATTTAGCTTTGATTTAGCATAAAGGTTTGTTTATCTGGCAAATAATATCATGAACAAGAAAAATATGTGGTAAAATTTTCAGGTTCATGACAAAATAGAAAGTAACGGTCATTATAAATTTAATCCATAATATAAAGAAATTAAGTTAAATTGTGACAGAAGGCTGAATTGCTTATCTAATTCACTTTTAGCGTTTACAAGAGATAATTTTCTTTAAGCACTGGTGATTTGCAAGAATGTGAAGAAGACCACAAACACCTAGTTTGTATTTCGAATAAAATATGATAATGAAATTCTAAACCAAGCGAAGTATCAAAGCTAAGAGTGGTTGAATTTCAATTGAAACCATGTTTGATACATAGTACTTAGTGTAACGTTTCCTGGTTAAGGCCCCGCTACAGATGATAATTTTTCCATACTAATTCACTTTTAGCGTTTACAAGAGATAATTTTCTTTAAGCACTGGTGATTTGCAAGAATGTGAAGAAGACCACAAACACCTAGTTTGTATTTCGAATAAAATATGATAATGAAATTCTAAACCAAGCGAAGTATCAAAGCTAAGAGTGGTTGAATTTCAATTGAAACCATGTTTGATACATAGTACTTAGTGTAACGTTTCCTGGTTAAGGCCCCGCTACAGATGATAATTTTTCCATACATTAAGATGATAAATTCCCAACACACATACCAAATTACTTTGCCTCCTATGGAAAAAGTCCAGGTACCGACAGCTGAAGTTCGTTATTTCCCATTCATACGTTTCTTTGTTCTGCGGACACATCTCTTTGTTATAATCGCAGAGTACTTTGGTGCTGTTGATCTCATAGTTGACGACGGCGATTGGTAGCTCTTCGGGGTAGTGGCCGATGGCGATGCAGAAGAAGAACATTTGCGAGACGGGCAGTAGGATTATGAAGCAGAGTAATCTGTGGAGTGTAATGACTAGAATGAGAATAGAGTAAAAGTGGTAATGATAGTGGTAGTTTAGTTTTGGCAGAGTAAAATAGGACTAATCTTACTTTTATTTGGATGTAGCAATCATTGCTACGACTTAGGCGATATGCAAACATCAAGCCTTCTCAAAGATAGTTAAATGCCCGACCTGTCTAACCAGAGTGTGTACTATAAGCCAAATCCTCTATTTGCGAAATTGATGATGGATGGCGAATGTCGGTATAATTTATAAAACTTCATTTTAGGTATCTGTGCTGACAATAATAGCAGTAACTGCAACTGTTGCTTTTGGAAGGCTGGTCAGTCGTTTTCAAATTTTAACTCCATTTCCCCAAAACTAAATGTTCCAAATTTTATTAAATTTTATTTCTACTATACTTTCATAAACGCTTGATCTTATACATGCAAAAACTTATGAAATTCTCACCCAAAATTTCTCAGCAAGCTCATCGCGTTTTTCCACACCAACGCCTTCATATGATGCGCTTTAACCGGCTTGATCTTATCAAATATAGTCTGGGACGGTACAGCATTCGCCGGCATGTCCACCGGTGGGACAAACTCTGGGGCGACCGCCACTCCCTTACTGTGGATGGAGACATTGTCCCCGAACTCCCCTGATATTTCCCCGATTTCTGGCTCTTCGGCGTCTGTTGCTGCTGGGTTCTGGAAAGATGTATTTGTAATGCAAAGGTAGCCTGGAGACAATCGAATTTATAACCACCATAGACGTAGGCATCTCCATCGGACCGTTACTACTTGATCGACCACGTATGTACAACATCATTTTAGTGAACGATTCACTCTCTCAAAATGTATTCTTGGGTTTAAATAAAAAAAGTTGAAGTAGCTTCTTCAGAAAACATTCTTCAGAGCGCTGAGTGTCAGTTTACATCAAACGTTGTCACTAGTGAGCGCGTTAAAAAAATATAATTATGAAAATTTTAATTCTTGAAAGTTTCCGCTAGGGGCGCTGTACAATCCGTCATACATTTAACGTAATTTTTTTACGCACTAGTGATGACGTTTGATGTAAGCACACACTAAGTCTCAGAAATATAGTTATCTTATCATTAATAGTACATCCAGGAATATGTCTTGACGACTGAATTATGAGAGCTATCAGCTCCATGTTCTTCTTCGAGGAAACTTAACAGTATTCTTCAGAATAATAGCAACATCCTTATAAGTACTTACGGCCATAGCAGGTAGTTCCACCTTATCCACGACGTCAGCAAGGATGCTGGACCTCCTTCTCTTGCCTCTGTTCTGCAACACTGATAGCTTGAGGAACACGTCTTCAAGACTGTCGGCTTGGTAGCGACGGATCAGCTCGGTTGGAGACTCTTCAGCGAGGAAGCGGCCTCCTCTCATGAGGCCGATCTAAAAGGATAACATAGATAGATAGTTTTTGTTGGGGGAAGAAACTGCTTTCGACCGAGTTTCTAGAATCTAAAAGGAGTAACATGATTCCTTCGTTTGTTCGTTACTGTACATTCTGCCTTTCTTTTATAAAAGTAAACTGCAAGCTTTCTTTATGCTATTTAGTCGACTCATTGATGAGTGGTCTTAATGAGGGCTGTCATATGTGCACTCCTTAATTCACTCTATTGATGAGTGATAGGAGCTTGCTACTCTATCCAATACGATAACCCACCTATACTAGCACAAATAGTGGGTAGCTACATAGGTAGGTGGGTAGGTGCGTAGGTACTACTAACTCTATCTGCCTAATTACCTACTCTTGCGCTCCTCAGTGTTATACCAGCGAGTAATATTACCCTAGCAGTGTCACAAAGTGGCCCAAATTACTCAACTAAGATAACTCTTTAAGTCATTGACTACAAACAATAGCAATTGCTGAAACTATTTTTTTCTGTGGAAAATGCCAGTTCAAATATCATTTTAGTAGCTCAGACAGAAAAATCAAGTATCGGTCTTGAACAAGTAAGTAGGTCGTTATTTATTTCCCACGTTTCTTCAAAACGTTGCAAACAAGAAATAAAACTCACTGGTCTTTGAAATGAATGCTCTTCAGGCTTTATTCTTTATTCCTTTTCAATAAAATAAGAAATAAACTGAACTACATACAAATGATCTCAGCATTTGGGATTCAAGGTCTTGCCTGCAAAGTTTCATTTCGTAATGAGAAGTCTTCCCACTTAGTAGTTTGTTGGATATCTGCCATCTTTTTTAAGCTCGCAATTAATTTAAGTAACGAATTGATGGTTTAATTAGGCAAATGTTGCTTTTAAATCCTATTTAGAAAAGAATTCCTAGTACTATGATACACTTTGGATAAGTTTATACATAGATTTTGCATATAATATTTTATATTTTTGTCTAATTTATGGTCAGTTAACACCATTATCTTCTTCTAATGTCACTGATTGACTGACTCACTCATCACGAAATCTCAGAAACAAGTTCCTTTTAGGACGTAGGTGCTCACTAAGAACGGGTTTTAAGAAACTTCCTACCCCCTTAGGAGTAAAACGGGATCCACGCGTACGAAGTCACAGACGGCCGCTAGTGCAAAACCACGGACAGACAGACAGACAGACATATGGAAACTATAAGGGTTCCTTGTCAGGACTACGGAACCCTAAAAAGCTCTTAAAAAGTATGTCAACTGACTACTGGTGCCAAGACAACTTGTCCGATTAGTCCATTTGCGAAAATAGTTTCCTCAATGCAAAAGTTACTTGGAAACCGACTAAATCAAGTAATTACTTGAAACTTTAGGAACTTGGGAGTTTTCATGGAAATGTAGTTTGGTTATTAATTGGATTCATTAAGTTTTACGATAAGTACTGGACAAGGTGCCAAATAATAAAGCCCAAAGTTTACTTACTAAGATTACTACTAATATTATACATGCGAAAGTAACTCTGTCTGTTTGTCTGTCTGTCTCTCTTTCACGCCTAAACCAGTAAACGGATTTTGATGAAATTTGGCATAGAAATAGTTTGAGTCCCGGGAAAGGACATAAGATAGTTTTTATCCCGGCTTTTGAAACACGAACGCGCGTGATAAAGTTTTTCTAAGACAGACAAAATTCCACGCGGGCGAAGCCGCGGGCGGAAAGCTAGTTCTAAATAAGTAGGTATATCAAATATAGAAAAACTTGGAAAAATAAACTGTCTCAGCTAAGAATTGAGCCTACACGAGCTTTCTTGTTAGTTAATAATAAAGAAAGAAAGAAACAAACATTTATTGCATTAATAAGTACTATCGCATCACACCTTACTCTATCATTATCTTTTTAAGAACTACCATTATAAATATCCTAGTATCATAAGTCTCTCTACAATTAAGTTGAATTAAACAGCATTTACCTAAAATAACTGTTTACAGCGCACTTTTTGAAGTGATTTTATCCTGGGAATCGAACCTAAACCTCAGTGTCGACAGCCACTAGGTCACTAACGGCCGTATTCACAAACATTACTATGAGGTCTCACAGTGAGCGTGGACTCACAGGATCACACACTAACCAATCACAGAGCTCTATTCAAAGCAAAAGTGCTTTCGATTTGCTGCTTCACTTAAGCAAGCATCGTTTGCGGGCGTAAGATGTTTCAACTTATTACTTAACAAAGTTAATACTCACAACATTTGCTTGTTTAGTTTCGTCGATATAATGTGTTGTGATGATGACGGTAGTTCGGCCGCCATTCGATATGTTGACCAAGTGGTCCCAAATGCTGGAATGAACAAACAAAAACATAGGATGAATATTGTATCAGCGCAAATTGGAACACAACAGTTCTCAGAAAAAGGGGAAAATGAAATAAAAATGTGTATATTGGGGAAATTAAAGAGGCGGACTGTAAAAAACGCAAAACTGGGGTGATGGACATATTTGGATTTTTTTTCTGACAGGTAAATTAATTCATTATTTTTATACATAACAAGGCAGCTATTTGCCCGCAATCGCACCTGGTGTTAAGTGAGATGCAGTCTAGGGTTGTACATATCTGCCCTGTAAGTGCTTATTCAATACTCTCGCTTTGTAAAGGCCCGGATTATAGTGTTCAGGAAAGACAATAGCAAGCAGCGATTCTTCTTCCCCTATCCTAAAATGCTGTGCCGTGAAGGTAGGTATTATTCTGACTACAGCTTACCTTTGTCGTAAGACTGGATCCACTCCTACTGTGGGCTCATCCAATATCAGCAGTTCAGGGTCATGAAGAAGAGCAGCAGCGAACGATACACGTCTTTGCTGACCGCCTGATAAGTTCTTGACGAATCTGTGAAACAAATAAATAAAATAAAAAATAGGGTTGAATAACCAATCAGCTAAGAAGATAATTCTAGTTCTGACTCTTGGTCGGGTAATTTAAAATAGGTCGTATTATAGTAGAGACAAAAAGGTGATATTGCGTTGTTACATAATAGCGGTTACACCTACCTAACACCTCACCTAGTTATCGCTTTATTATTTTATTGCCTAATGCAGGATTCATCTCCAAGATGTACAAACGGGTTGAGGAGGCCTGCATGTTCGCATATTACTCCCATAATCAGCACTTTACGATATCCACCTAATTGTCTTATTATATCGCAGTAATGTCTACTTGATCACGAATAAACCGGCATCCAAAGAATAGGATACCAAGACCTTCATTATCAGAAGACTTACCTCTCAGGGTCAGGTAACTGCAGCAAGGAGACCATGAAGTCGCTGCGGACCTTGATCTCCTCGGAGTCCATGCCGGCAATCCAGCCGAAGTAGATCATCGTCTCTCTGATGGTGAACTCTCCGAACAGAGCTATTTCCTGAAAAGAAAAAACAGGTTGGTTAAACGTTTCTTCGTCTCGTATCTTGTAATTGACATGACTCAATTCCGAAGCACGAATTCAACACGAACAATCAGCCAGGCCCAGGATGCGCATCGTGATAAATCTTATCAATTTTAGACGACAAAATGTCTGCCTGTCGCTTAAAATCGATAAAATGACGCGACAAAAACTTATCGCAGCGCGCACCTATAAGCCTTGAAGGCTGATATAAATTGCAATGCCCTAGTCAGAAATTGCAGAGTCAAAAGTGTCCCTACTTTTTTACATAAGGTTCACCTTTTTACTGTGCGTGCGTATTCTTCTACCTGATTTTTTAATTTGGGCAACAACTCCGTGTGTAATCACATTATAGCATTATTTTATTAAGGCGTTAAAAATATTTGTCTGATAGAGCTTCGCCCTAAAACAATAAACAAACCTAATGACCTGGCTTTTGTCCAGCAATGGGTCAGCTAATGGGCTATTTAATGTGCACTATTTCTTGATAATTACCATTTTTGCATTGAAACCAACTTTGAATACGTACAAGGCTTTCCGTTTTTTTTTACAAAGGCCCTTAAAATGAAATACATACGAATAATTCTTATTGATTACTTTTATTGCTTTTATTAATTGCTTGATCATCTATTCACCTACTTATTGCTATCTTTGTCAACCTAGTTACTTTTAAAATTAGCAATCTAAGGAACCTATGGCGCTAGAGGGCACACAGAACGTTGCGTTTCGGATACCCTACAAATTTTATAAAGTTCAAAGCACACCTATCAACCCGGAAAGTAATCAACACCGTAACGCCTTTCGCCGCGAGGCGAGGCGCTTACATTACGGTGCGGAAAAGTGTGCGTTGCAGTATGGAGTCTCATACCATACGAAGAATACAGACCGCCTCGAGTTGATAGATACAGTTACGATCCGTCTCCGGGTTTATAAGTGTGCTTCGTCCTTTATACAGTGCTTAATGTGATTCATTACACAGAAATTCACGCCATCCTAAAGCTCCATGTTTACGACTATTCCAAGGCTAAACCTCTTGATCTTTCACTAAACCCTTCCTGAAATTGGTTCTTCTTTAAAATCCGGTCACGTAAGTGTGATGTATAGCGGTCTTCGGTGACACGTCACGTTCACATCACACATGCTCTTAAGTACAGTTTTTCTTTAACCATAGGACAGTTGTAGTAGGTATCAAGAGACTTCGGCAATCTTGCAAGTGAGTAAGAGCGCTTTCACATTAGTTCGTTAGTAGCGCGACTGCAGCGCGGCAGCGGCATGTTTATAATGTGAAGGCATGCATCCGCTGTCACATACTTAGTATGAAATTTTCGGCAGCGCGTCTGTCGCGCGATTGTCGCGGCGCTGCTAAATCGCCCATGTGATAGCTAAGACACGATGTCGTGCCCTGCGTGCCCAGACAACTGCACGCAGGAAAAGGACAGTGCCAATCCATGTATGGAAGTTGGACCAAGTACTGCCCAGAATGAAACTATAGTGCATTTTGTTCCTCAGGCCAATACTAATTTATAAACCGGAGCGCACTGAAATCTGTCCCTGGAGTTAAGAGAAAAAAAGAGTTTTGTTTTGAATTATTAACATATAAAATATCATCGATGTATACCTGCTACGCATAAGATTTCGCGATTTTGGCATTAAATAACACTCGTTATGTTGAACTTAACCATACTACATCCGTACACCTTACTTTAGTACGACTTCGACATTGTTTATAAGCGATCAAGCGCTGTTGCAGTAGTTTGGTTAGTTGACCGAAATTAATTATTTCCAAAATAGAGCAAGTTTTAGCTTACAATAACTTCAATAATCGATTGTAATACACCAATAAATTGATTTTTCGCAAGGATAGAGAACTAAAACTTCTTGATTCATTTTGGAAATAATGATTTCTGTCAAGTAACCAAACTATTGCAACAGCGCTAGATCGCTTATAGACTAAGAGCTAGTGAACGCCAGACCTACGTTATTTTATAAAGGCTGAAAGTTTGCCAGCGCATGCTCCCAACATAGCTAAGAACCATGGCCAAACATGAAGTTTGGANCCCTAAAAGTATGTCAACTGACTAGTGGTGCCAAGACAACTTGTCCGATTAGCCCATTTGCGAAAATAGTTTCCTCAATATAAAAGTTACTTGTAAACCGACTAAATCAAGTAATTACTTGAAACTTTAGCAACTTGGAAGTTTCAATGGAAATGTAGTTTGGTTATTAATTGGATTCATTAAGTTTTACGATAAGTACTGGATAAGGTGCCAAATTATAAAATCCAAAGTTTACTTAGTACTAAGAATATTTATACCTATAATGTATATTATAATAGTAGGTCAAATATAAAAAAAAACTTGGTAAAATAAGACTGCCTCAGCTGAGAATTGAGCCAACACGAGCTTTCTTGACAGTTAATATTATCGGATTATCTTTTTAAGAACTACCATTTTGACTAGCATACTTAATATCATCATATCTTTCTACAATAAATTAAGTTGAATTAAATATCATTTACCTAGGTGCCTAACTTAATTATTTGCGTGCAGCGCACTTTTTGTAGTCATTTTACGCTATCTGAGAATCGAACCAAAACCTCAGTGTCGACAGAAACTAAGTCACAGACCTTTAACCTTATTACTGAACAAAATGTAGTAATACTCACAACATTCGCCTGTTTAGTCTCGTCGATATAATGTGTTGTGATGATGACGGTAGTTCGACCGCCATTCGATATGTTGACCAAGTGGTCCCAAATGCTGGAATGAACAAACAAAAACAAAGAATGAATATTGTATCAGCGCAAATTGGAACACAACAGTTCTCAGAAAAAGGGAAAAATGAAATGATAAAAAAATGCTGTTTTGGGTAAATTAAAGAGGCGGACTGTAAAAAACGCAAAACTGGGAAGATAGACATATATGGATTTTTTTTGTGACAGGAAAATTAATATTTTTTTTTTATACATAACAAGGCAGATATTTGACCTCAATCGCTCCTGGTGTTAAGTAAGATGCAGTCTAGGGTGGTACATTATCTGCCCTGTAAGTGCCTATTCACTCTCGCCTTGTAAAGGTACGGATTATAGTGTCCAGGAAAGACAGTAGCAGGCAGCGATTCTTCTTCCCCTATCCTAAAATGCTGTGCCGTAAAGGTAGGTTATTCTACAGTTTATACCTTTGTCGTAAGACTGGGTCCACCCCAACTGTGGGCTCATCCAATATCAGCAGTTCAGGGTCATGAAGAAGAGCAGCAGCGAACGATACACGTCTTTGCTGACCGCCTGATAAGTTCTTGACGAATCTGTGAAAACAACAAGTAAGAAAATAATGAAAGATATCTAAAAAACCAATCAGCTATATTTATGGGCAGTCATTCTGATTCGATCTTTGGTCGTGTTAATTTTACGTCTTAAAAATACACGAGAAGATACATGTTGTTACTTGTTTTGTTTGAGTCGTTAAGGAGTCGTGTCATAACTGTATCACCTATCCAACATAGATCCTCATCCAACTAACTGCTTATTGCTTTGGTGTCCTGTTTAGGATTTCCTCCCTGGCCATATGTGCATGGGGTGGTCTGATATTTACATATTGTTACGACATGCACGTTACATAATCATGTTAGGATTGAGTCTAGCTAGCAAATGGCAATGCCAGAGTTTGTATGGAAAGTGGCGTCTTTTTTTTTCGCGCGGCCATCGACCAAACTTTGTTTTTTGATTACAAAATAGTGTAATAAACCAAACTTACTATGACATGTATACCTCTAAACTCAGTCTGAACTGAGTTACGAGCATTATAAGTTTGATGATTTTCATACTAGATTTGCTTTTTAATAATAATAATAATACGCAAGCCTTATAAAGGACCGGGCCACTTTTGACCCGTGAGCTCCAAAGCGTACAAACATAATAATAATAATAAGCCCCGCAGGGCAGCTTTGTGGCGAGCTGTTGGTGAGTAGCGACACCACGGGGCCAGTTGTTAATCCGAGTGCTCCCGAGAGTCGGTCAAGACCCTCGTCTTCGGCTTGCCGAAGTGGAATCCGAGAGGGTCTGCAGGACTTTCACCTCTGGCCGGCCGGTTAAGGCAAGCCGCTAGAGCTATATGCTCCAGGGGTGGAAGTGTTAAAGGGCATAACGCCGCGAGTAACCTCGAAGAAAGCGCAGCACACCTCTCTACACCCCTGAGCTGGCAGACGCCAATGTTGTCCCTCAGTCCGGTCTATACGACCCATGACGCCAGGGGGGGCCCATTTAGTCGCTGGCTAGTCACCGCCTGCCATTTTTTTCAGTCAGAGACTATGAACCAGGCAGGTGTCCCGTAGTCTCCATCCGTAGCCCAGTAACCAGTCCCTCCATCCTTCATCCATAACCCTAGTCCATTCTTCAATAACTGCAATAGCTCCTGTGCACAGTCTGGGGATGGTATCTGGCTACATCCCATGATATAGTCAGAGACTAGATCCAGCATGTGCACCACTTTCACTTTTGTCGATTATTTTGCGCTTAAAACGGCCTCTACGTGTTGGATCTGTATCCCCACGCAAGCCTTATAAAGGACCGGGCCACTCTTGACCCGTGAGCTCCAAAGCGTACAAACATAATAATAATAATAAAAACTTTTTTTTTTTGTGCGCAAGTTTTGTAAGAAATTGCAACAAAATATTGCGCTATTTTTTTATTGCGCTGATTCTGCTCCATACTGATGTCTGGAGCCTTTAATGGATAGTATTGTTTGTTTACACATACAATCTCACTATTTTGTTGCAATTTCATACAAAACTTTGCGCGCAAAAAGCAAATCTAGTATGAAAATTATCAAACTTCTAATGCTCGTAACTCAGTTGAGACTGAGTTTAGAGGTATACATGTCATAGTAAGTTTGGTTTATTACACTATTTTGTATCCAAAAAACATGGATTGGTCGATGGCCGCGCGAAAAAAAAAGACGCCAATTTCCGGCATTGTCTTTTAGAGAAGAATAGATATCAAAACTATTATTTCTTGGAAGATAACTCACCTCTCAGGGTCAGGCAACTGCAGTAGAGACACCATGAAGTCGCTGCGGACCTTGATCTCCTCGGAGTCCATGCCGGCAATCCAGCCGAAGTAGATCATCGTCTCTCTGATGGTGAACTCTCCGAACAGAGCTATTTCCTGAAAAGAAAAAACAGTTTGATAAATGCTTCTTCGTCTCGTATTTGACATGACACAATCGGGTCACGAATTCATCACGAACAATCACCCAGGCCAGGATGCGCATCGTGATAAATCTTATCAATTTTAGACGACAAATGTCTGCCTGTCGCTTAAAATCGATAAAATGACGCGATAAAAACTTATCGCAGCGCGTACGTGTAGGCCTAGAAGGCTGATGTAGATTGCAATGCCCTAGCCAGACTGCTTGAAATTTCAGAGTCAAAAATGTCCCTAATTTCTTACATAAGGTTCACCTTTTTACTGTGCGTGCGTATTCTTCTATACATTGAGGTTGAGGTTGAGGAGAGATTGTGGTTTTTAAATCCAAAGGTAGGAACTACAATTTTCCTCCTGTCACTCTTGAAGGGTTACCATTGAAAAGAGTGACAAGTTTTAAGTACCTGGGGCACTGGGTAAATGAAAGTATGTCGGATGAGGCTGATATAGAAAGGGAGCGCAGGGCTCTAGCTATGAGAGCGAACATGCTCGCCCGTAGATTTGCACGGTGTAACACTGAAATTAAACTAACTATTATTAAATTAAACTAACTGATGGGGCTGCCTCGGTACTGTAGCGCGTCAGCTATGTTCACTGAGGCTCGCATAGACAGTTTCCCAGTCGTCATGCGCAAGCGGGTTGCCTCCGCGTGGAGCCGCGTCCGAGACAGCTCCAACAGCCTCCTGGCGGCGATAGGGAGTCGCTATTGCTGTCCTATATTGAGACACTGGAACAGCGTCCATGTCGGCTCGAGACCTGCTCGGGTAAATGTAAAGTAGGTTAGGTTTTCTTTTTCCACTCTCTTTGTTTTAATTACTAACACTAGCTTATAAGTACATCTGTAACTACTAACCCACTATGGAAAATATTTTTTTTCCGAAATAAAAAATTATTATTATTATTATTATTATTATTAAGATTTTTTCAGTTCCCCTGATTTTTTAATTGGGCAACAACTCCTAATAATCACATCACAGCAATTTTTTATTAAGGCGTTGAAAATATTTCTCTGATAGAGATTCGCCCTAAAACAATAAACAAACCTAATGACCTGGCTTTTGTCCAGCAATGGGTCAGCTAATGGGCTATTTAATGTGCACTATTTCTTGATAATTACCATTTTTGCATTGAAACCAATTTTGAATACGTACAAGGCTTTCCGTTTTTTTTTACAAAGGCCCTTAAAATGAAATACATACGAATAATTCTTATTGATTACTTTTTTTGCTTCTATTAATGGCTTGATCATCTATTCACCTACTTATTGCTATTTTTGTCAACCTAGTTACTTTTAAAATTAGCAATCTAAGGAACCTATGGCGCTAGAGGGCACGCAGAACGTTGCGTTTTGGATGCCCTAGAAATATTATTAAAGTTCATAGCACACTTATTATCAACCCGGAAAGGGATCAATACCGTATAGCCTTTCGCCGCGAGGCGAGGCGTTTACATTACGGTGCGGAAAAGTGTGCGTTGCAGTAGGTATGGAGTCTCATACCATACGAAGAATACAGACCGTCTCGAGTTGATAGATACGGTTACGATCTGTTTCCGGGTTTACAAGTGTGCTTCGTCCTTTATACAGTGCTTAATGTGATTCATTACACAGAATTTCACGCCATCCTAAAGCTCCATGTTTACGACTATTCCAAGGCTAAACCTCTTGATCTTTCACTAAACCCTTCCTGAAATTGGTTCTTCTTTAAAATCCGGTCACGTAAGTGTGATGTATAGCGGTCTTCGGTGACACGTCACGTTCACATCACACATGCTCTTAAGTACAGTTTATCTTTAACCATAGGACCGTTGTAGTAGGTATCAAGAGACGTTGGCAATCTTGCAAGTGAGTTAGAGCGCTTTCACATTAGGACGTTAGTAGCGCGACTGCAGAGCGGCAAAGCGGCGTTTTTATAATGTGAAGGCATGCGTCCACTGTCACATAGTATGAAATTTTCGGCAGCGCGTCTGTCGTGCGATTGTCGCGCTGCTAAATCGCCTAAATGTGATAGCTAAGACATGATGTCGTGCCCTGCGTGCACAGACAACTGCACGCAGGAAAATTTATAATTAACTAGCTTACCGCCCGCGGCTTCGCCCGGAATTTTGTCTGTCACAGAAAAACTTAATCGCGCGCGTCCCTGTTTCAAAAACAGGGATAAAAACTATCCTATGTCCGTTCCCGGAATTCAAACTATCTCTATGCCAAATTTCATCAAAATTAGTTCAGTGGTTTAGGCGTGAAAGCGTAACAGACAGACAGACAGAGTTACTTTCGCATTTATAATATTAAATAATAATAAATAATAAATAGTAGGGATATTAGTAGGGATGCTACTGCTAACGCCACTCTTGTAGCGGAGTTTTGGGCTGACACTGTAAGGTTTGTCGACACGACAAGAAGAAGAAGTAAGAGTTTATATCTAACTTTGACATCGAACTTCTAGAAAATATGTGGCTCCAATAACAGAAACACGGGTCTCAACTCGACATTTATTATGAAGTACATGAGTACTTACAGCTTTATGTTTCTACAGCCGTGGTCACAAGCAAAGAACGCGAAAGTTTAAAATTTTAATAAAATACTGCCTCTGATACTGAAATAAAAGCTTTTGTTTCAGTCGATTTTATATCTTGATATCTATGCGTAGGTAGGTATACGAATCTGCCAAAGGTTATTGGCGCGGTTAGGATTATAATTTATGCTTTCTGTTACTAAACATTTCACGCGTGGGACAATTAATTTTTTCTAAAGTAAAATTAACAAAACCAAGTCTGATTCTTTAAGAAGTTGTTAAAATAACTAGTTACTTATACCTCAAAGCTTGTTAGATGAGCTGTTAAAAATAAATAAGTTATTATTCAAAATGTTGGAGAAAATCTTTGTCTAGCATGGAGACAGTAAGGTACTTTTTGTAAAGCCCTAGAGGCCAAATAGTTATTATTTATTTCATTGGCAGAATTATTCTTAATTTCATTAAAAGTAAAATATTTTAGATTGAGAAACAAAATTATGAAAACTTTATTAAATCAGTTAATTTTAAACAGCATCTAGATAGGTAGGTACTCGTATATTCTATGCTATGAGTTTGGTTTTGAATGCAATTTCCTTGTGGCTACCTTAATTTTTCTCAATGTCCTACCACTTATGTTACTTATTTAGTCNTGGCCATGGTTCTTAGCTATGTTGGGAGCATGCGCTGACAAACTTTCAGCCTTTATAAAATAACGTAGGTCTGGCGTTCACTAGCTCTTAGTATAAAGAATGTCTAAATCGCACTAAAGTAAGGTGTACGGATGCAGTATGGTTAAGTTCAATATAGCGAGTGTTATTTAATGCCAAAATCACGAAATCTTATGCGTAGTACGTATACATCGATGATATTTTGTATGAAAATATTTCAAAACAAAACCCTTTTTTTCTCTTAACTCCAGGGATAGATTGCAGTGCGCTTCGGTTTACACATTAGTATTGGTCTGAGGAACAAAATGCACTATGGGTTGATTCTGGGCAGCACTTGGTCCAGACCCTGGCACTATCCTTTATAATTAATGTTACTGACAACGCCACTCTTGTAGCGGAGTTTTGGGCTGACACTGTAAGCTTTGTCGACACGACAAGAAGAAGAAGTAAGAGTTTGCATCTAATTTTGACATAGAATTTCTGTGGCTCCAATAATAGAGAAACACGGGTTTCAACGCGACATTTATTATGAAGTACATGAGTACTTACGGCTTGATGTTTCTACAGCCGTGGTCACAAGCAAAGAACGCGAAAGTTTAAAATTTTATACCTAAACTTAATCGCCAACTATAAAAGACACTTCGCCCCTGACAGTGAAAAAAAAGCTTTGTTTCACTAGATTTTATAATATTTTTAATTATCTTATCTTGATATCTAAGTACTTATTGGCGCGTTTATTAAGCTTTCTGTTGTTACAAGAAATACGCGTGGGTCGATTCAATTTTTCTGAAGTAAATTAACTAAAACAAGTCTGATTGTATATGAAGTTTGTAAAATAACTAGTTACTTACACCTCAAAGGTTGTTAGATGAGCTGTTAAAAATAAATAAGTTATTCAAAATGTTGAAAATCTTTATCTAGCATAGAGACAGTAAGGTAATTTTTGTAAAGCCCTAGAGGCAAAATAGTTATTATTTATTTCACTGACAGGATCATTCTATATTCATTATAAGTAAAATCTTTTAGATTGAGAAACAAAATTATAAAAACCTTAATAACTAATAACAGTTACCTACATATTTATATTAAACTAGCTGACCCAGCGAACTTCGTACCGCCTTAGCGTAGAGATTTTCTTAATATTTTTTTCCGTAAGAACCATCCTTGGACTTCCACAAACATTTAAAAAAAAGAATTATCGAAATCGGTTCAGCCGTTCACACGTGATGCCGTGACAACGCGAAACGGGTTTCATTTTTATATAATATATATAGATATAGATAGCGTACTATCTATATTCAATGCTATAAGTTTGGTTGTGAAGGCGGTTTCCTTGTAGTAACCTTAATTTTTCTCAATGTACCTACTAACAATTTAAATGTTACTTAGTCGCATGTGACAATAGTTGTGTAAGTAATTGAGGAAAATTTACACAAACAGATTAAGAAGTTTATTTATAGGCATCATAAAAATAAACTAAGGAGCATTAGAAGTGTCTTGAATCGAAAAGTGTGGCTACATCTATGAAAACTCGTAATTTATTTCAGATCTTATGTTATAAAATCATCGTCATCAGTTCATTTACGCCCGTATTCACAAACATTACTATGAGGTCTCACAGTGCGCGTGGATGCACAGGGTGACACACGAACCAATCACAGAGCTCTATTTAACGCTCTGCATTCGATTTGCCGCTTCACTTAAACAAGCATCGTTTGTGAATACGGGCGTTAGTTTCCACTAGATGAGAGCACGATTCTCTCTAATATACAAGAGGCTA